CCTGAAAGACTCTTCCTTTACTTCATCCACCATAATCAAAAACTTACATATCTTCGTGGAAGCAGAATTTGTTTCAGAGTTTGTAGAGAAAATGTTGCTTTATGAACATTTAACAATCTTACTGTGATAGGAAATAAAGGCCAGATCTGGACAACAACTGCAGGAGACACTTCATATCACCATGGTTTATCTAGTAGCTGTGTGATGGATTGGGTCCTGTTAAGTCCCTCTACTCTGCCCTGGTGAGACCCCACCTGGAGTACTGTGTCCAGTTCTGGGCTCCCCAGTTCAAGAAAGATGAGGAACTCCTAGAAAGAGTCCAGAGGAGGGTAACAAGGATGATAAAAGGACTGGAGCACCTCCCCTATGAGGAAAGGCTGAGAGAGTTGGGCTTGTTCAGCCTGAAGAAGAGAAGACTGAGAGGGGACCTTATCAACACATACAAATATCTTAAGGGCGGAAGTCATGAGGATGGAAGCAGTCTGTTTGCAGTGGTGTCCTGCGACAGGACTAGGGGCAATGAGTGCAAACTGAAACATAAGAGGTTTCAGTTGAATATGAGGAAAAACTTCTTTACTTTGAGGGTGACAGAGCACTGGAACAGGCTGCCCAGGGAGGTTGTGGAGTCTCCTTCTCTGGAGATATTCAAAGCCCGCCTGGACGAAGTCCTGTGTAGATTGCTCTAGGAGAGCCTGCTCTAGCAGGGGGGTTGGACTAGATGATCTCCCGAGGTCCCTTCCAACCCTTGCGATTCTGTGATTCTGTGAAGTCATTGTCTTTCTGGGAGGAAAGGGAGAGATGCTGCTAGATGATTGATGGTTCCAGCTTTGGCTACACTGTATGGACAGTCCTGCCCAACCTTCCACTTCCAAGGAGCTTATACTTTAAGAAATAATGCAGTTATTCCCTGAAGAGATAAGCTTTATCAGGGAGACACAGCAGAGGAAAAATGAAAAGAGGTTCCTAAAACAGAATAAGGTATCAGAAATAATGGGCTGCGCTCATCACTGCGTAGGTGTTGGCAGATGCACTCATCATGGCTGGCTGCTGTCAGGCAGCAGGTTTCCATGCTGATTTGGCCCAGCCGGAGTTATGTGGTTTTACATGTATTCAGCGACAGTTTTTTCCCGCTCATGTGGCATGCTGAGGAAGGGTGAAGGTATTTGTAAGAGAAGTGGAAAATTGGGTGACCAAAACAGGTATTGATATCCAAAGATAATAAAGTACGAAGTGCAGAAGGGTATTGAAGTAATACTTCAAAATAAGCTGGTATGGGAGAGGTTTCCCAGACTTTTGAACTGACTGTTTAGTTACAGAAGCTGATTAAGCTTTTGGGCATCCTAGGATCACTCTAGAGTCATGGTTTTCTAGACTGTGTTTTATGCTTTTTTTGGTCCATCATGCAGTGAATGATGTGATGTGAATCCATTGGGCTAGTGGATCCTAGCACAGAGGCTGTGCCCTGCCAGAGGAAGTACGCGGCATACTGGATGTTAACTCAGAGTGCTATCACTCTGAAGCTCCTGTTCAGAGCTCAGACAGTTATGATCTACAGATCAGCTCTGAATTATTTACTGGGGCTTTGGGGATGATGTGTTGAACCACTGAGACTTTAGGCTAGTGCTCTTATGCCAAAATACTTATGTTGCTATAAGGGAGTAAAATTTGGCCCAAGACCTCATTGAATTGAAAAAAAAGTATTAAAATACATGCTGGAAGAGGAATTTGGCATTGACTCTAACTGGAGAGAAGAGGAAAAGAGGTTAAAACCTTGATTACTTTTTATTCTGTTTACCTAATTCAGAGTTCAAAACTATTCCCTGTTTTGATTAAAGTTTGGCAAGGTCTCTTCTGCTGTTCACTGCAGGAAATGAAGAAAGGGAGAGAGAGGTGGGAGAAGAGAACCAACTGTTTGCTTAATTGTACTGGGTGCAGTACATGCCAAAAATGCATGAGGACATGTAACAAGCTGTCTCAGTCTAACAGCTTTTTAATAGATTCATCTGTCAAATCCCATTACTATTAGCATATAATTTTTGAATTAATCTTGGGTTTTGGTTTGCTTCTTTCGCTAATGAGCTATCTACAGGGTGCCTCATTAATACTTCTAAGGTAGTGTAGAGAGAATTGGAGAAAAAAGCTGCAGCTGGGGAATGGAACTACAGTCTTTTGGGGTTTTCTCCTTTTATAAGAATGTATTTTACAAAAAGTCATTGAGGACAGCTAGACTTCTGCTTATAAAATCCTAACCTGTCTTTTGCAGAGAAGATTACCATGAAGACGGGTTCTGTCAGCCCTACAGGGGAATTGCATGTGCACGAATCATTGGAAACAGGACCATTTATGTGGACTCCCTCCAGATGCAAGGGGAAATTGAAAACCGAATTACTGGTAAGCTTATACATCTCTGTAGGAGGGCAAAAAACATTCATGAAAGTAGTCAGTTCAGGTATAAACAGTCCTATCATCCTTTTAAATTTTATTGGTCAATGACTGAGACATCCTTATACTGAGGCTTAGAGGAGGTGAGCCAGTTTCCCATTTGTGCAGTTAGCAAAATTTGGAGCAAGGAAGATGAATATTTGCAGTCATGTGTAGAAGCTTTTTCCATGTCCTCAAGTAAAATGTCAGATCACTGACTTTTTAACAGCTTGTAGTTTATACTGGAGCTTTTTGCATGATGGATTAAAACAGAAGATTTTTTTTGAAAAATCAATTTGTGATGTAATAAAACATTACTGGGTTTTGATTTTCTTGAATGTGTAATGGCTTTTCCTTTGGGTTTCCTCCCCTAATGCATAATCCCAGCTGACTACAGATTTCACACTGATTTATATAAAACAAGAGTTGACCTTCCTGTGCTCTATCCCTGCTGATTCTTTCTCTGGTCATTGTTTTGGTACAGGGTCAAAAACATGCATCCAAAACCTTAATGACTTTCAATGGGCTGTACATCAACATGGGTTTTCTGCACTGGACCTCAGTTAGCTGACATTAGCAGCTATGACTCTGATGTACACAAGCAGACCAAGCAAATAAATCTGTGGAATAGAGCAAACTGTTTATCATAATATATGGCAAACTAACTCAGTCCAGCAGGAGCTTATTTGTATCTGGCCAGATATGGCTAACTAATGGAATCTACAATTTTAATGTAACTGGTTGCCAAAAAGAGTTCGACTTCACTTGTCAGCTGTTATCTCCTTAAAGATATAACCTTAAAGGCTCATTGTCAAGCCACAAATCCAGCTTAGGTTTTTTCAGTTCTTGAGATGATGATCAGATTCTGGGACTGGCAAAATCCAGGTGCTCACCTTTCCTTGTGCTGTTACAGTTCAGTCCCCTCCCTCCTTTCTCCTGTACTCCTGTTGTAATTTCATCCTCTTTTATCCTTATGTATACCAATAATTAATGCACACTATTGATCCAATTTTTTCTATGACATAATCTCTATCCTGTTTGGATGTTTTCCAGAGATATGGAAATGTTCAGCTATCTGAAATGACTAAACTTGTTACTCCATAAATTAAGTTCATAATGTCCTTTAAAAAAAAAAAAAGACAAAACCAAAAATGCACATAACCAAAAACCTGTGGTATCTTCCAGAAAATGTTTATTGATCAACTTATACTTGTTTCTGGAATATACAACACGGACATTCATGACCTGGCTGCTAAGCAGTAATGATAATCCATTAATAATATGTCATTTTCAAACTATATACATCTGAAGAACATACCAAATGCCTCATGCAAAACAACCCTGAGGATTTCACAGCATACCTGTTTCTTAGAAGTCATCTTCTATGTAAAGAAGTATTGCAAGACTAGGTGTTCTCTGTCCAACTGGCGGGGTATTTTTGCAACTGTGGTAACTTGTTAGATTAAAAAAAAACCAAAACCAAACCTGCCACATACCTGCTGCTGAGATTTTGCTTATACTTTTGCCTGTACTCCTTGAGCACAGTTTTTGGTGGAAGGTCTTTTGAGCTCAGAGCGGTGGGGCATGCAGGGAAGGCTGTGTGTGGGAAACGGTGACACCTACCGCCCAAAACTGAGAGCATTTAAAAAGGTTACAGGCAACATCTATGGGGAGTTTTCATTCTGGATTTTCATTTCCCTGTTGCACTGATGTGTGAAATAATACATTCCTTTTGTCCCTACGGCCTCTGGTGCTGCTCAGTCCTGGCCATGCAGTTAGGCGAGAATTGCAGCCTTCTATTAAAAAAAGAAGGACGTTTCTGGAGAAAAACATGAGACCTTACTTGGAAAGACTGGAAGGCCAACAATAAAGAGTGCATGAACCTGACCCCTGACCTGTGGATGTGTGTGGCTAGCAATGTCTTTGCTGTGCCATTTAATATCTATTTAATAACTAAAGAAACAAATCCCTTAGAAGCCAGCGCACAGTCCTGCTAGCTTTTGCACCTCCCATCGAAATAAGGACATGATTATGAATTGTATGCTCTTCACTCATGCTGACCTAAATTCTGTAACATCTTCACAAAAATTAGTGTGGTGTTTCAAATAGCCAACAGTGACCACTTCACTCCTCTGCATTTATTTTTTGCCTGTTAGTCTTTGGGAGAAGCACACGTCACAGCTGTCATTTGAGGCCTGATGCTGTGCTTGCATGCAGTGTTCCCTGCATGACTGATAAACTGTTGTATTCCCCTGTTAATATTCCTATATTAAAATAAGAAAAGGTGTAAACAGTACAAAAGGCTGGAATTGGGGCTGCTTGCTCTATGTATGATATTTAGGAAGAAGCAGGAGACTCTCTGATAGCAGGTAGCAGGAGGAAGTAAATGGTTGAAAGGAGAGAGCTGGACAAGAGGGAAAGAACTGATTTGTAGGTTGTAAAGAGACTGCTGAATGACTTGAACTGCTCATTTCCTCTCTTTTTACAGTGTGTGTTGGTGGAATGTGCAGTCTAGCAAGGCTCACTCAGAAATTATGCTTTCCAGTGTGGGAATGAACCTTCCTACATTTAAAGCTTCATTTATCCCCAGATACATGATGAACATGCACATTTGTCTTTGCAATGTACAAGAAAACTCAGATAGATGTTAGCATGTAGATGCTGAGAGCTGAAGGGGAGGATTAAGTTCCTAATTCATTGTGACATTCATCTTAATGTGATTGGTATGCTGAGATTGATTATATTCATTTTTCCCAAAGCTGCAGCCTGTTAGGCTTCTCTCATGTCTATCAGTAGCAATATCTCCCCAAATACCAATAGCACACTTCCTTTTGCCTGTCAAGACGTGAAAAACACTTGTCTTGTTTATTGATCAAAATGTCTACAGAAGGAAGAAGTTAGGTAATCCTCGTTCAGATTTTACCTAATTAGGAACTTTGGAAATACATGTCAGCATCCTGGCAGGTGTATCTTGCCTTTGTTCTTTATCCTTTCAAGTTAAAATTAGTCAAGCACCAACAGTTTGCTCAATGCTAGTCACATGGGTAATTTCCTAAGAACTGAGGTCCTACAAGTTCTGTGCAGATGTCAGGGGGACACTGGGATGCTGGGTTTGCTTTCTGCATTTGTCAGCTCTCCTTTACAGTAGAAATTACCTCATTTCCCTGCTGCTCAATAGGCTTTCAGACCCTCAAGAAAAGATGAAAGTTTTAAAAGGCAAATGACACGAAAATTTTGTTGTTTCTAATGCTTTTCATGAATTAATACTTAAGCAGTATTTTTCTTCCTTTCCAGCTGCATTTACCATGATTGGCACTTCCACACATTTGTCTGATCAGTGCTCACAGTTCGCTATACCATCCTTCTGCCACTTCGTGTTTCCCCTGTGTGACGAGCGCTCTCGGACCCCTAAGCCACGGGAACTGTGCCGGGATGAATGTGAAGTTCTGGAGAATGATCTCTGTAGGCAGGAGTACAACATTGCTAGGTCAAACCCCCTCATCCTGATGCAGCTACAGTTGCCTAAGTGTGAGGATCTTCCACGACCTGACACCTTGGAAGCTGCCAACTGCATAAGGATTGGGATCCCCGTGGAGAGACTCAGCCGATGTAAGTCTGGGTGTTTCATCACTGGGAAAAAGTAGGGTTTGTTGCTTCCTCAGGTTGGGTTGGAGAGACAATATTTTATCAGTTGTTCTTTTTATGAGGAAAGTACTGTTATACTCGACACTACTACTTTTTATTATGTTAATACTGACCATAATCTTGCACTGGTGTAAGGTATAGTTAGGATGATGAGGAAGTTTAAAGGATGCTGAAAGGGGTTATGTCAGCCACCCAGGGCTATAAAACTCTGTGTTCACACAACTGATTTTACTCAGATTTGTGAGGGGCAGCAGTACATCACTGGCTTCCCTTCCCACATACCTGCCCCCACCTCCGGCTCAGTCCTTGCCTTTCTGGACAAGTCCCCCCCCTACAATATTTGTGAGTTCTGTTTATGTATCAATAAACCTCAGATAGGCTGTGGAAGCCTGTTAAGAAATTAGACATTTAATGTTCATTCTTTCTATATGGAAATCCACAAGAATATTAATCCTGTAAATCAACCATGGAGTGTAATTGTCTTTCTTCGCCCACACCAGATGGGTGAAAGCATTGATCTCGCTTCCCTGAATTTATATTTGCATCCAGGAGTAGAAGGGCTGTTCTGTTGTCAGTAATTATGTGCTGACAATTTTTCTGCCTACTCTGTTTCCTAGCAATTAATCACCACCCCCTACAATGTTCAACAAGGGAGCTCCAAGAGACTGAAGGTGTTTAAAGTTCAAAGTGTGATAAGGTTATTCCGAATATCCATTGTCTTAACCCACAGTCAGGAGCAAGGTTCATGGCATAACGGTGGGCATGGAAGACTAGCTCTGTGCCTGTAAGGCAATAATCTAGTGTAGCTGGGAAGCAGAAACAATTGACAAAATGATGGCAGAGGCAAATTAGCCAGGGAAGAGGTATCAAACAAAAGAAATGAGAATAAAACCAACAAAAGTCTGGCAAAAGTTGTCTGTGATCCTCAGAACCAGTGGAACAACTGGGTGTGAGTACCCTGGGGCTTTGAAGGAAGGGCTTTGAGAGAGCTGGATTCTGGAGGGCTGGGGAGGGGAACTCGTGAAAATGAAGAAGGTAATGTTGCAAACATACAGAAGAATGCATGATTCAGTTCAGGTGATACATATGGGAGGCAAGCACTCAAAAAAGTATGAAGAGAGGATAGCAGCAAAACAGAGAGAGAATGAAGATAAGAGTTCAGCCAATATGGAAGTGATATATCTAGGGAGAAGAAAAGCTTGTATCCCTTTTTTCTAAAGAAGAAAAGGAGGAAAAATTGGCAAGAAGTGTTAGAAAATGCAGCACCGATTTCTCTAGGAAATGAGCAGTGAGAGGAAAACAAAAAAATTATGAGAAATAAAAGTGCCGGGAAGATTACATTGTTGGCATCTGAAGACGTTTCCTGAAGTGAAACCCTTATCTCCAATTTAGTTTAACTTATCTTGACCTGTATCTAAAGGTCCATACATGCTCCTTAGTATCAGCTTGCATTCAGAGTTACCAAATATTGGCGTGCATAGCCACAGAGCTGAGACACTCCAGGACAGAATCCAGAAATAACTGGGTGTAAATGTACAGATATTCATAGAATGGAAATTTCAAACCCCACAGCTTTCATATAAATCCTGAAGTACCTAAATTCAAGTACTTTTTGCATACATGGTCTACGCGCTTCAACCCTTTCGGTATTGCTGGCCCTTGATTGTTTTGTTATTTGCAACCTTTTGTCAAACCCTGTGTTGCAGATCACCAGTGCTACAATGGTTCTGGAGCAGACTACAGAGGCACAGTCAGCGTTACCAAATCTGGCCACACTTGTCAACTCTGGGACTCCCAGAGTCCCCACAGCCATGATTTGACAAGCACACAGTTTCCAGAGCTAGGTGGAGGACATGCATATTGCCGAAATCCTGGAGGTCAGATGGATGGGCCCTGGTGTTTTACAAAGAATAAAAACGTACGCATGGAACTGTGTGACATACCTTCTTGTAGTATGTATTCTCTTTCTTTTTTCCCCTACTACTGTCCTGAATCCTGTGTAATTTTGAATGTTCCCTATTATTACAAGTAGAATTAATTTAAGAGGGTTATGCTTTCAAATGTTTCACTTGCTGTAATGCAGCACCCTTGTTTTGTGTTGTAGGCGTTTAATATTTTCTGGACATCAGAACTTGTCACTGAGATATTGTGACACTTTTTTAATATGTATTGGGTGCTTAAGCTGAGATAGTAATTAGCGATACCGCTGTAGTTTGTATTCTAACTTGTCAAATGCCAGACTTGGTGTACTTATCATCTGTATGTGTTTGGTTTGCTCATGCTACTCAATGGTATATTGCTTTTGCTCTGTATGGCGTCTTGCAGGCGGCAAGGATTTTCAGATCCTGTAGAGGGAGATACAGCACCATGCTTAGTTGGAAGGAAACCCTGTGAAGTGCAGAAGCAGAGATGTCATGAAACACGATCTTATCAGAAAAGTCCTACACTATCTGCTACTGGCTCTGTACTGCACAACTGATAGCAATAATAAAAAGTACAACTCTCACAGTTTAATGATGTCCCACTCACCTCCCTGGTACAGCAGCCTAGCACTGTTACACTGGTAACAGTCTTTCGACATGGCAAAGCAGCTTAGTTCTGTGCTTCATTAGGAAGAAAAGCATGTTTCCTGCAGCAACAGATGTATCATGGAAGCCATAAAAGTGGTTTTGTTACAGATTGCCTGGATATTTAAGAGGGCTCAAGGTTCATATAAAATATCTTAGTTACTTCACTTTTTTACAGTAACATGATTTGACATTTATAATAAATTTCTACATTGCATGTAACATGGTGCAAAGATAACACTGAGATGTGGTTGTGGTGAAAGCAGTAGCCACAAATAGCAAAACCACGGATTGCAGAAAACATCCCAGGCAGTTCCAATAAACATTTTGGACATCACTATGCTTTCCTGGAGTCTCTAAGTATCAAGAAAAAAGCATTTTAGGAAGCTTCCAGAACAGTCTTATTAAGTGTATTGATAGCTTTTTAATGTCTGTCTCCCTGTAACATAAAAGCATTCTAATTCCATTAAGTACAGAACAAATAATATCTCTGCCAGTGAGAAGTGAGATTTATTTTTTTCTGGGCAGAAGTAGTACCAGTGGAGGTAAAAAGTGGGTAAAGTTGGGAAAGAAATGGCTGAAGCTGGACAAGAAGGCTAGACTGCAATGTTGTGCTGCAGTTTGTACCATTGAGTTCACTGCTTTGTATACTGTAATGAAGACTACTCACTTTGTTTTTTATTCCCTGAACAAGATAATGCAATGCTACTCTGGTCTATGTTCTGCAGTTTCCACAACCTCAAGCCTCAAAAATAAAGTGAAATAAACCACATACTGTTACAGTCAACACATTAAATATGGGGCTCCCAGTTTACCTTCATAATACTAGTTGCTAAATCCATTCAGACTTCTTTGAAATATATAATGGAAGATTATGGAGAAGGGGGAGAGGGTATAATGTGACTTCTGTTTTCAAGCTATAGGAGTTACTTTTTGTTTAAATGTAGTATTAATAAACATATCATAGTTGGTTTTGGTTGTTCTTTGTTTGTTTGTTTGTTTGTTTTGCTTTAGTATCGAATGCATTAAAAATACATATTGTAAACAATGAACATTTCTGTGCCTGACAGGTCCACGTGACAACAGTAAAATGGGAATCCTCTACATCCTGGTTCCCAGCATAGCCATCCCTCTGGTTATCGCCTGCCTTTTCTTCCTGGTCTGTATGTGCAGAAACAAGCAGAAGGCATCTGCTGCGACACCACAGCGCCGCCAGCTGATGGCATCTCCTAGCCAGGACATGGAAATGCCACTCATTAATCAACACAAACAGGTATTTTTTCCAGAATTTGCTTAGGCCACATATTTCCAAAGTGTCGTGATTTTCATTGTCTTGGGTTCCAGTGTTCAAATTGAGCCGTGTTGTAAGGGACCTAATTTTCATCCTGTCCTGGCCATCTACTACAAAGAAAACCAGGACTTGCACTCACTAGATGTATCCAGAAATCCTGACCTCCACCAACAGCTTTCAGGACAAAATATTTTATGACATTTGTCCCTACCTGTCAATCCCCATTCTGCCTGTTGTCTCAGTGAGTGGAAATTTTGTTATTTCTGATCCAGTCTTCAGCGTGCAGCTCATTTTCACTACTGGTAGCAAAGTGGCTGGTTTGCTTGTTTAAAGCTGGATGCACGGTGGGGTTTCTTGTCTAATCTGTCAGCTCAGTCTGCTGGTATTCTGAACTACCACTGAGCGGGGAGCTGAGCTGGGGTGCAACATGTTTCTAAGGCTGTGTATCACAAAGGATGGTGAAACGAAAATGGCTTTGAACTTCTGTCTACAGATCTCAGCTACTGCATATGATTTTCTGGGTCAACTGACTGATGTCCATGCTAAAATCTTGTTCTTGTTGAATTTTTAATCACAGCATTTACAAGATGCAAGCTCTAAAAAACAATGCTCAGTTTGGAATAATTGTCAACATCTGTTTAGGAAACTGTAGAATATTTGTGGGATATTACCAATTGTAACAAATTGCATTGATTTTTTGTGATAAGGGGGAGGTGTAATGGCTGAGCCTGGGCTGTGCTGGAAACTATCTGGTCCAGTCCATAGTCTGTTGGCCACTAAAATCAAAGCATGCTCCCAAATCACCTGTCAAAGCCTCTTTCCAGCCTGTCCTGCTCCCTCTGGCTGTGGTACCCTGTGTGAGAAGCTGTGCCAGCTGCATCTGGCTTGGTTAGGGACTCCTCCAGCCCGTACTGGTCAGGACAGACCAATTAGATCATTGTCACAAACTCCCTTGCTTTTGCTGCCAGCTGCAGGGGGATTCCTCATTCTTGGCTTCACCACCTTCATGTACCAGAGAGAAATTCCTTCTTCCTTTCACTCTTCTTCCACCCCCCTCTTTATCAGAGCTAGCACAAGGTTTCTCAGCAGGGGTATTGTGTACTGCTGCCCACAGGCAGGGATCATTCCTGTAGTCCAGTGGAGGAGAAAGGGGATATCTGCTACTGCAGAACTGAAAGAGAGGTTTTGTTCCTCCTTCCACTGGAAGGGATGTTTCAGTTCACCCTGAGGCTGCCACATCCTCAGCCAGTGTCCTCAGCTTTTCTGACATCTCCAGTGGGTACCTCTGGGCAGATCTGTAGGGCAAGTGCAGCTGCAGTTAATAGGCATCATCGTTTGCCAGATTTACTCTGAACCGGTTATTCATTCAGCTTGCAGGAAATATGGTCTCTCCTTTGTGAAAATAATTATACTCATCATCTTGCAGCATAATTCAGTTTACACTTCTGATAACAGTATAAGTCATTCCAAGGTTAACTGTAAAATCAATATACTGATGTGAATATGCAAAAAGCTGAAAAGTCATTTTGGCCCAATTTATCTTCCCTTTGGAGCATCTAACCACTGGGAACTTCTCTTTAATAAGAGATTCTGTTGTTTAGAAAATGTTGTGATTTTTTACTGACTTACTTTCTTTACTTCATTTCAGGCTAAACTTAAAGAAATCAATCTGTCCACTGTGCGGTTTATGGAGGAACTGGGAGAGGAGAGATTTGGAAAAGTCTACAAGGGGCATCTTTTTGGTACAGCACCAGGTGAACAGACACAAGCTGTTGCTATCAAGACACTAAAAGACAAAGCAGAACTGGCTCTTCGGGAAGAATTCAAACACGAGGCAATGATGAGATCACGATTACAGCACCCAAACATCGTTTGTTTGTTGGGAATAGTGACAAAAGAACAACCCATAAGCATGATTTTTAGCTATTGTTCCCACAGTGACCTCCATGAGTTCTTGGTGATGAGATCTCCCCATTCAGATGTTGGCAGCACTGATGATGACAAGACAGTAAAATCCACTCTGGAACCAGCAGACTTTTTTCACATTGTGACTCAGATAGCTGCAGGAATGGAGTACCTTTCAAGCCACCATGTTGTCCACAAGGACCTGGCCACTAGAAATATACTGGTGTTTGATAAACTGAATGTGAAAATATCTGATTTAGGCCTTTTCAGGGAAGTTTACGCTGCTGATTACTACAAACTGATGGGAAATTCCCTTCTTCCTATCCGGTGGATGTCCCCTGAGGCTATTATGTATGGCAAGTTTTCTATTGATTCAGATATATGGTCATATGGAGTTGTGTTGTGGGAAGTTTTCAGCTATGGCCTGCAGCCTTACTGTGGTTATTCTAACCAGGATGTCATCGAGATGATCAGGAACCGACAGGTTTTACCATGTCCTGACGACTGCCCCACATGGATATACACTTTGATGTTGGAGTGTTGGAATGAATTTCCCAATAGAAGACCAAGATTTAAAGATATACACAACAGACTAAGAACATGGGGAAACCTTTCTAATTACAACAGCTCAGCGCAAACCTCTGGGGCAAGCAACACCACGCAAACAAGTTCTCTCAGCACAAGCCCTGTTAGCAACATCAGCAATGCTAGGTACATTGGACCAAAGCAGAAAACTCCAGCTTTCCCTCAACCGCAGTTCATACAAATGAAAGGGCAGATGAGACCAATGGTCCCACCTCCTCAGCTCTACATTCCAGTAAATGGTTACCAGCCAATGCCTGCCTATGGGGCTTACTTGCCAAATTTTTACCCTGTCCAAATTCCAATGCAAATGGCTCCTCAGCAAATGCCTCCCCAGATCATTCCCAAACCAGGCTCCCACCACAGCGGGAGCGGATCCACCAGCACAGGCTATGTAACAACAGCGCCTTCCAACGCATCGGTGGCCGATAGGGCTGCTCTGCTCTCAGAGGGCACGGATGACATGCACAACGGAACAGAAGACATCGCCCAGAATCCCGTCCAGGAAGAGGAGGAAGAGGAAGGCTCTGTGCCTGAAACAGAATTGCTGGGCGATAATGACACACTTCAGATGGACGAAGCAGAAATTCAATCAGAAGCTTAAGGAATTTGGCCTCATTACTAATCATTTCACATCACTTTCATGCATGGAGGCTGTAGATCCTTAGGCTTAATAGCAGTGATTTTTATCTGATTAAAAGAAACAAAACTAAAAAACCTACACCCATGTAAAGTGCAGCAGTAATGATATACCTGGTTTATTGACCATTGCCACCATCAGATTTTGCAAATATGATGGTATAGAATTGCTGGGTTTAATCTTTTTTACTGTCCTACAGTTCTTGAGGGAAGCTGCTTTTCAGTTATGTACTGTTGCTGTGCAACATATTGCAGAGTAGCATTGCACATCATGTATATCATGATATGTGAGTGTAATGTTAGTGAATTATGCTTAAACCAATAACACAAAAAGGAATCCAACTATCGTTGCAGAATTGCCCTGAGCATAAAGAAGTGCCCTGGATGTGATGGACAGCTTAGTTTATAGTATTTATCTCTTTGATATAATGGACATGAGATTGTTGTTTGGTTTTTGAGTCTGAAAAAATAGCAAGTTGAGAATACTGATCTGTCTTTGTATTGCGTTAACCAGAAAAGTAGGGAAACTGAACACAAAATTGGCTATGCTGAGTCAGACCATGGGTCTATCCAGCTCAGCAGCATGTCTCGAAAGGCCATTGATTATGGCTGCCCAGGGAAGACTGCAAGGGCAATTTCCCTTGTAGAATTTCCCCAGGGTATTTCCCCAGCCTCCAGCAATTTGTGGCTTAGGGACTTCCCAAGCCAGAAGTGGAATTTTTTTTCTGTTTAATAGCCCTCGATGGAATTTTCTACCATGAATTTATCCAAATTATTTTGAAGCCACATAAACTTATAGCATCCACAACATCCTGTGGAATAACACAAGAGGAGAGAAGATGGCTTTCTTTCATCATTCCCAATGAATGACTGTGACAGAACCTTCCAAATGAGATCATCTGACTGCATTTGTGGATGAAATTATTCCTTCTCTGCTGTGTATTTTCAGCAGCAAGCAGCCTTAATACACTGTTAACCAAAAATGGGGATATTGTAGGGGATATTGTAGGTGTGCACTAACTTAACAATCCAACTTTAATTGCTTATTGGTATCAAGTACAGAAAAGGGCTCCACATGTGTGTTCCTACATTGTAAAAGTGTTGGGGTTTGTGCGGGGTTATAGACTTACTTGATTTACTGCAATTACTGCTGGATTGCATGTGAAACCATGTTTTTTCCTGCCTCTTTAGTGAAGAAGAATCTTTGAACTTTAGAAGACCAAAATAAGCAATACTGTACAAAGTGCTGGTTTTGTGCTTCTATTTGCAGGATGAATCATGTACAGACCTTTAAATGTAATTTATGTTTTACTACATTTTATATACTTTTTTTCATTGAAATGTTTGGATTTTTGGATGAATGATTTTATAACTTAACCATTTACAATATTCACATGTGGTGCAGTTTTATTGTATTGCTGTTTCATTTTGTTAAACATGCAGACAGGTCCATACATTTCATGACCCTTTCTGTAATACAAGCAATACACATTCTCATTGTAGCATTTTAGCCAACACACACTATAGCTATAAGTTGTACATCCAACATGGAGTATTCAATAAAGTGATGCAAAAAGTATGATTAAGTATGTTATCTTTATAGTTCCTACAGCCACTGTTTTGTTATGGTACTTTGTGGAAATAGAAATGGCCACAGTTCCTTAGGTTATAGATTTCATACCTAAGCTACAACTTTTTATTTTATAGCATTGGGATTCACTTGTCAATCGTGTATCATTGTGATCTACATCCTGTGTTCATGGTATGGCAGCATTACTCATTTCCAGCATTTCACTTGGATTTGGAAATGCACTGGTAGGAATAAAATATGAAAGCTTTATTACTTGTGTTAATATAATGCAGCTTTGGGTGCTATTACTAAATAAAGGATAAATAAATAAAAAAAAAAAAGTGAAGTTTATTTACTTTAAGTTCTTTGTTTCTTCTAGGTTTCACGTTCTCAGATTAATGAACTTCATTAATCAACCACATTGGCTTCCTTTGCTAACTTACTGCCTGAAAAATGAAGAGTAAGTGGTCCATTTACACCACAGATGCGTCAGTGAGAGAAGAGATATAACAAATGAATGAGTGGCAGTCAGTGGAAGCTTCTGTACAGCACTGTCTCAACTTCAGCCCATTTCTGACAGTCAAAGAGCATTACAACTTTGAGTGCTTTGGGTGCAGATTGGGAAACTCCTAATTCCCTTCTTCAAGCCTTGTGAATTCAAGCCTATAAATCACTATAGTCAGAAAAGAATAGGACAGACTCCTGTAATGACTTTTCCATCCCCACTGAGATGTGGATGCACTCTCAAAGAGATGGTAGAGGAGTAGTATACAATGCCCCAGGCCAGCATTGGTCATACACACAGTACCACAGAGGGGTTTTCTCCCCTCTGTTGATGTGGACACAGTTCTCTGAGCTGCCACAGCCAGAGCCACGATGGCATCCAAGCACCTCGTCTACAGCTCAGGTGAGCACCGCTCCACAAGTGGTTACCCCTTCAACACTTCAGTGACTGCTGTAAATCATATGCATTGGCAGTAACTTGTTGCTCTGCAAGTCCCCAGGCTGGTCCCCTATGATGTCTCCTGCAAAGACCCAGCCAGAGTCAGGATCTGTCTTTCCTCCTCAAGATTTGGAAGCAAAGCCAAGGAAGAACAGAGAAGGGATGTGGTGGTAAGTGGATGGAAGAGGGTGGTAAGATGGGAATAGGGGAGGGAAGGGTTGGGGCTGGGGCCCAGCAAAGCCAGCACAATGCTGCTCACTAGAGCATGCGAAGTTACTTCTTCCTGCCAGGGTTAGCAAAGCTAGAGTTTGTCCTGGTGGCAGAACAACTTTTCTAGATAAAATATATGTCTGGATGACAAGGAGAGAGCAAGATGTTTTGGGGAAGACTGTGGGATGTTTCAAAAGTTTTCTCTTGCCTCTTGCTAGTTCCCTACTCTGCTTTAGCCAGTATGATCTTCCTAAGAAAACAGGGACTGACCTTGGGAAAAGTGGGTAGAGCATTGGTAGTGTCCATAGCAGCCCACTGATGAGGCATGGGGCTCTGGCTGACAGAGACTGCCTCTTCCCCATCTTCAGTGATATATGACACTGGTTGTGGTGCATGCCCTCCCCACACCCATCCTAACTGATTTAGCTGTCCTCACTCAAGCCCAGCTCTCTGATATGGTGCATGTGTCTGATCTTGGCTAGGACTGTTGTGAAGAAAGAGCTGTTGGAGAAAGATGTGGAAGGAGCCCTGGTGTATCAGCTCCTTCTCTCACATGCAGCCTATGCCTACAGAGCACAAAAAGGCTCCTGGGATTCACCTCAGAGCAGGACAAAATACCCCTGTGCTCAACAGGTCCCTGGCAGAGCTGGAGATCAACCCAGCATCAGCAAGCCTGAAGGTCTACGCTACGTGTATTCATGAGTCCTGGTGAGGAAGAGGGGAGGAGGGAGAAGCTGAAACATGAGGCAGGAGGGCTTTGGGTGTAGCCCAGTCACAAGTGCCAAGACAAAGTCTTGATCTATGGCAGGACTTTCTTAGGGTTCTTGATGCTTAGTTGCCAGCCAGGGGTTAAAACACGACAGGTTGATGTGTCCCAGAGCATAAGGAACTAAATGTCTATAGGAACCAGCAGTGCCTTGATCAACCAGGCATCTGCCTACACCTGAAAACAAGTGTGAGTCCCTGTTTGCAAGAGCATATGGGGTAGATGGGGAATGGATTTACAATCCCAGGGCAGGGAAGGTCAGGGATGGTTTGCAGTCTGAGCAGGGACACTTAAGTGACTGTAGTTGTACACACCTTCTCCACCATGCTAGTGTAGCCTGGCAAGAACACCAAACTGAATCCTGTTCTGATATTGTCTGAGTTCTGGGTTATTGCAGGGTGTTTTCATCTGTTTTACTGATTGGGACTACAGGGAAGACAAAACAATAAACAATGTAATATAAACAGCTGTGTAAGAACAGAGGATGGAACAGATCCTCCTAGAAGATATGCTAAGGCACATGGAGGCCAGGGAGGGAATTCGAGATAGCCAGCATGGCTTCACCAAGGGCAAGTCCTGCCTGACGAACCTAATGGCTTTCTATGGTGGTGTGACAGCATCAATGGACAAGGGAAAACCAACAGACGTCATCTATCTGGACTTCTGCAAAGCCTTTGACACGGTCCCCCACAACATCCTTCTCTCTAAATTGGAGAGCTATGGATTTGATGGGTGGACTGTTCGGTGGATAAGGAACTGGCTGGATGGTCACGTCCAGAGGGTAGTGGCCAATGGCTTGATGTCCAGATGGAGACCGGTGACGAGTGGTGTCCCTCAGGGGTCCGTACTGGGACCGGTGCTGTTTAATGTTTTCATCAATGACTTAGACAAAGAGATCGAATGCACCCTCAGCAAGTTTCCTGATGACACCAAGCTGAGTGGTGCGGTTGACACACCAGAAGGGCGGGATGTCATCTAGAGAGACCTGGACAGGCTGGAGAGGTGGGCCTGTGTGAACTTCATGAGGTTCGGGAGGTGATTCTGCCCCTCTACTCTGCTCTGGTGAGACCTCACCTAGAGTACTGCATCCAGCTCTGGAGCCCTCAACACAAGAAGGACATGGAAGTGTTGGAGCGGGTCCAGAGGAGGGCCACAAAAATGATCCGAGGGCTGGAGCACCTCTCCTATGAGGACAGGCTGAGAGAGTTGGCCTTGTTCAGCCTGGAGAAGAGAAGGCTGCGGGAAGACCTGATTACGGCCTTCCAATACCTAAAGGGGGCCTATAGCAAAGATGGGGAAAATCTTTTTAGTAGGGCCAGCTGTGACAGGACAAGGGGTAATGGTTTTAAACTAAACCAGGGTAGGTTTAGACTAGATATAAGGAAGAAATTCTTTACGATGAGGGTGGTGAAATGCTGGAACAGGTTGCCCAGAGAGGTAGTGGAGGCCCCATCCCTGGAAGCATTCAAGGCCAGG